TCCCACAGGCTCCAGGTCTGGCCTCAACAATGGTGCCCACAGAAACATGAGTCCCGGCCTCTGGTCTGATCACACGCCCATCACAGCGCGCTCCCACACTCCCCTAAATCAGTTTGTTTGTGTCTGAGGCAGCACTTCCTCTCTCTCTCCTCTCACATTTTGAGCAGCTCCAAGGAAAGTCATGTCCAAAATATTCACTGGATCTAAAGTGAAACATTAAAATCATATATTATTAATGTTATTGTACTGGATCTTAACTCCTAACTGAAACACAATTAGGAGCTTTTGCAAAACTAAATATCCATGCAAATGTGGCAGTGGCATTTTATATGCAAATGTTTCATTGTGGAACTCGTTATTTCTTCACACTGGCCTCCTGTTGCATCAGCTCCGCAGGCTTAAATGTAATAGAGTGTGTCCTGTCTTGCGCCACTTGCAGTGTAATAAAACAGCAGACACACAAACCTATACCCAAACAGTGCCCATAAGCACCTGAGGATATGAATGGCGAGTGTAGAGTGTCGGACTGTATAAATGTGAACGAGGCTGCTGCTGCCGTCAGCCTCTTGGCGTTGACACAGTAAACTGATCCGAGCTTCTGCAGGGGAAACGTCTCCGTACACACACACGCACGCACACACGCACACACACACGCTGCCGCTCCGGAGGGAGCGCAGGGAGGCTGGAGCAGCGCTACTCACACGGAGATTGAGTTACAGCTGAATTAGATCTGAGCTGTGGGAACCAGCACCTTCCCCCAGACACACACGCACGCACACACACGTGTTCTCACTCCGCCAGTGCGCGGGGACGTGCGCTCGGATGATCCGGTGGACTCTGTCGCAGCACTGACAGATGCTTATAAACAAACACGCACGGCCGCACACAGAGACAAGTATAAAAAAAAAGGCGCGCAATATTTTTACGCACACGTGGTGCTCTTAAAGATGAGGCAAAACTGGCACTGGGCAGTGGGGTTATGAAGAATAGGCTACACAACATGTGATGGACCAAATAAAATTGGGAGAATATACGTAGAGTGTGTCTTGTGAGAAATTTTGATGCTGCCTCGTGAGTGACTTGGACTTGACTTGGCTCTAAATAAACGTCAGTTTGAATAGAATGAGACAGAAGAGAGGGCCGTGCAGCACATGCACTAAACTCTACGTGTCTTAATGGCCCTTTGGTTATTCACATGTTAATGCTTTTCTCTTTTTGCTGTTTATGTTTGTCACCATCACGTCCAAGAGTCACAGTAAACATGCAGAACATCGCATGCATCCTGAGCGAGACCAATCAAATCGCGAATGTAATTGGTCCACTGTCAACAGTGTGAATGTTCTTTAGTTTTGCAACACGGAGGTTGCAAAGAAGTGCTGCATGATGTCACCGCTAGGCGGCGCATCAGACCAAAACTACAGTATATGGCAAATTAGGTAAATCCTAAAAAAAATTTCTACCATGGAGCATGGGCCCATGCCCATAGGATTTTAGGATTTAGGATTTACCTAACTCCTGGGCGAAATGAAGCAGTATACTGAACTTTAGCAAAAAGGGTCAATTTTATTAGACCTATTGGAAAATGCCAGATTAGATCACTGGGGGGTCATGTTCACACTAACTCTCAGGAAACAACTTTTTTTTTTTTTACTTTTTAACCCTAAAAACTGTCTGAAGGGTTTTATGTATTAGGTGACCCTTAAAGAAATCCACCCAGAGACAGTGAGAAACATACAAACTCTACACAGAAAAGTATAGGCACCCTGGAAATGGAAACTGGAACCTTCTTGCTGTGAAGCATTAAGTTCAAGCCACTTAGCCACTGTGCCTTCAAAAGAGAGGCGTGAGATGTATTTGCCCATGCACCTGTTACAGAACTCTTGCATTTGTAGGAGACTAGGTTGTGCTGTCCACTTAAGGCCCATAGTAGCAGTGGTAGTACAAGTTTGATCATAGATGAACTGCTCTGAGTTAAATAAGTGGTCAAGCTGGGAACCTTTTGTGCACAAGAACCAGATTTGTCTCAACACCAGTGTGGGGTCACAGCGGGTCATTGAGAAGACAATGCAGATCAGAGTATAATCTTCTGACATTAATCCTTTAATGTTTGTTCTGCCATTGACCGCCCTCCACCCTCCCCTCTCTGACCACACGACTGCCTGTCACCTCCACACTGATATTTAGACACACCACTCGCACAATACCGCCATCCGTTCTGCCTTGTCCCTGTAGACCGAAAACCCCAGGAGCACCAGAAGGGGAAGGATAGGGGGGAGTGCAAACAAACTCTCCCCAGGTTCGAGGCTTCGGTTTCAGCCTTCCGTCCGCCGTGGCTGGGGGGCCATGGGAACACGGAGCGCCAAGGGTCTTGTGTCAATAAGGAGCAGTGGTTGAACACAATGGGGGCCTGCCAGCGGACAACACCAGTGACAGACACCAGCACAAAGGCAACGGTGAATGGGGAAGGAGGCTCCAGCACACACACACTCGCATACACAGCAGTACATAATACCAACACACACACTCACACACATACACACATACACACATACACTCGGGGAAGAATATATCTATGAAGCCTATTCAAACACACCAAGAGCATGTAAAGTAAAGTTAATAACTTAGAATATTACTTTTATCTCTTTTTAACCAAATACACATCACTGATAATGTTTGAAGTGCCCATATTAGAGTATTTTCTGATCAATGATATAAAGTTGTTTCCTCATCAAAAACAAAGCTGGAGTTGTGTTTTGTTTCATTCATGCGTTTAAGAGACAAACCCTGCATATTTAGGCTGAGTTTTTCTCTGAAACAGAAAACACTCTGTTCCACCTTGTGATGGCATGTGTTAATATAGGAAGTGCTCCACTGTGTTTTTAAACTCCATACACTTTCAGTAGAATCATTTTGATAATTTCATCCCTAGGACTGCCAATCTTTACTGTATAAAAGTTAAAAGGTAAACCCTGTTAACTTGAAAATTACCACTACATGACATCACAAGGTGGAACAGAGCATAAACATAATATGAGATATTCTATTTGAATTAGATCAAATAGAATATCCCAGCCTCTTACACTCAAGGTACCAGAATGTTTGTGCATTTTATTTGAACATGTCTCTCAGACCATCACTGATTCTCCACCAAACCAAAACATATGATGTTCTCTTCATGGCTCCCTTCACCCTCATGTGCTCAGAGTGAATATGCTCTCACAACAGAAAATGACAATGTTTGTGTTTATTACAAGTGCAGCAATCCTGTGGAGTGCCACCACTTTAGGGTTCAACTATTGCATTGTATCACCTGCAGAAACAGGTGTCCTATTTTTGTCTCAGTGTTGTCCACTAGTTTTCCTAAAGGGACAGTAAAGGTTTACCTTAGTGACTTGATTATTTATATAATAATAAAGCAATGGAAACTCATCAACCCCCTGATTAAAGCTCTAGATTCTAGAAGTTTAAAAGTGAAATGACAACATGCCAGGCTCCACTTAAAAGTGTCCCTGTATAATTCACTGAGCTCAACAAAAAAACAATCTCTTTTTCATTCACTTAAGATTCAACAGAAAAAAAAATACAACCCTCTACATCAAACTTCAAAATTAAGAAAGTATTTGGAATATGAGACAAAACCTATTCATTGTGATTTCAAAACTTAGCATTGGATATTCTGTCTAAACCACCTCTAAGGCTTGTATAGTGGCTGCTGACTCACAGAACACAGTGGCACACATCACTGACTGTTCTCTTAATGCATTCTCCATTGGTCTCAGTCTGTGCTCTGCATTAGAGGAATCCTGATGCCGACTGCAGATAGACACAGCTCATAAGGAGTGGACTCAAGTGACCAGCACGCTGAGCTCTATGAAGTCAAACACTGACACTGACTCGTTGAGTATTGTTTTGTATTATTTAGTATCATTTTATGACAAGTGAAGTGGTCATTTCTGCCTTAAGAACTTCAAGCTTAGGTTTTAAGAACATTTTTATACAAATAATTTGAGGAAATCAAGCAACTAATGAAAACACATGAGCTAAGCAATTCCATTTCGGATCTGTTCATTTTATAGATTTACAATAAATAACACAAATAAATACATATAAATGTACAGGCAAAATATATTCGTGCCCATCAGGTTTGTCTGACAAAAAAAAAAAAAAAAACAGACAAAAAAAAGTACTGAACTACTGCAGCCTCACAGCATCCTTCCTTATAAATGTGGTGGTCAAAGAGTTTGTAAATATCGCCCTCTGGTGTTAACAAAGGGTCAAAAACTTAAAACAATATTTCCAGCCTGGCCAACAGATGGCAGCACTATGAGAGTGCCGGTTAATACAATTCATCACACTAAGCCCCGGGTTAGTTTGCCTGGAAAGCCAGAAGGATATCGCCCTGTACTTGGTATAAAATCCATATCCGCTGGTACAGCGCTGGGTCTGGATTTTTCCAGGCAACAGGTTAGTGGAATAACGCAGAAAAACTTAAAACCTTTTGAATGTCGTCAATCAAAGGAGGACCTAAGTGGACCTAGTGTTTAAATATGTATATATTTTTTTTTAGAAAATGTGAAAATGTTCAGTTAAGCTATTCAGTTGTGTAGGTCTACAAGTAAAATGGTAAAAGGTTTCATTTATACAGCACTTTTCTACCTTCAGGGCAGAAACATGAAGGAACCACTCACTCATTCATACACATTCACCCTCCTGCATACACAGACAATAGGGGTGATGCAGGTTAAGTGTCCTGCCCAAGGACGCAAAAACAGGATTCACCGTGGGAGCTGAGATCGAACTACCTTTAGATCAGATAACGCACTGTATAACATTCATTCTGTAGTGGGCTAGAAATAATTAACAAAAATACACTTCATGGAACTTGACACATTTGCCAGAAGAAACATATGGACAGAGAGCAACTTTAATTAAATCCTCAATAAATGATCCTTACATTAGTAGTGGTGGGTGGTATTTAAAAATGAAAAGGCTGACAAGAATTTTAAAGCAATATCAAAGTTTTATTCTTAAAATGTAGTATAGAGGAACAGTAGTACAATTCAGACAGAAAAAAGGAGAATGTAGTTCCATCTTTGAAAACCTTTGATAAAAACGTAAAAAGAGTAACCTGAATCTGTGTTCGGAGGGCACTGAGGTAAGGCCCGACGTTTTGCATCACTGTTTATGTTCGAGAAAATTGAAAAATACAACCTTTTATCTGCGAAAAAACAGCGTAAAAAAATACAGCCGGGGAAAAACCTCTGCTTTTACATCTGTAGTGTTTTGAGTTTTTTTCTTTGTCCGTATAACAAATACAGCATTAAATTGTAAAATGATACATGGTACTTTTGAGTTTCATTCATTACAGTGAAATCAGTAGGATGGTAATAGTATCAAAAGAACAAACAGAACAGGATGGCGTGGTCAACAAGCACGCAGCGTGGAGAGATACAACTTAACCTTGACATAGAGATTTGTGGAGCCAAAGCGTGCCTTTAAACTCACTAGTTAAATAATAGAATCTTCATATATATATATATTCTTCTCTTATAGTCTCAACATATATATATATTTATAATATAAGCCTATAAGCCCACAGTGATTTGAAGGTAAAAGTGACACGATGAGGATGAAGACGTCTTCCACTGAGAGTAAAGGGAAGTCACACATGTTTTGTAGCATTAGCACTTAGTACATCCTCCACTGCATAAGAACAGATACTGCTGTTCCACATTAAACCCGCAAACAATCCTTATTCTCTGTACAAAATATGTGCTTAACCAAAGGAAACAGGAAAGATCTGTGGAAAATCATTAAAAACATTGTCTAGGTAAAGTGAATGATTCTGTAGCATAAAAACATTGAAAAATCTGAACAATTACAGACACAAGCGAGGAATCTCTACACTATGCAACCTGGCTTTTTCTTATACATTAGAACAATAATTAAAAAAAACAAAAACAAAATTTTGGTTGGACAAATAGAAATTATTAACAGTCTTGATTGCATTTTGGAGTCAATATATATATAAAATGTTAAATAACAAAAAAAATGAATAAAAAAGTTGCGCATTTGGAAGAAAGACACACAACAGTTTCATATAGTTCCTTTCAGACCCGCTTTAGGGGGAGGAAAATAAAATAAAATACAAAATTATTCTCGCAAAAGTAAGTGCATGTCTATGAGGCGCCATTCACTTTACATGGAACAAAGTGTTTTTCTACCTGGCAGACGTACAGCAAATCAAAATTCAACAAATTATAATAACAGTTTTGGTTTTTAACATGGAGTTCTTTGAAAATGGAAAGACATCATGCTCCCCCTTTTTTAACAAGCAACTTTCAAGTGATTCAAAATATAACAATTCAGTACCAAACAAACTGATGGTGTTAGGTCCTCTATTATAAGTACTGCCGGTAGACTTAAAAATGGTATGTGTCCGTGTGTGTGCGTTAAATAAAAGCTTAAAAACAATGGCGAGGCATACCTGATAGTCGCTGTAGCAAACAGTGTCAATAGTAGAAGCGGATTACATTACATATAACTGAGTCTCCTCATATATAGTCTATAGGTCCAGTATTCTGCGACAAGCAATACAGCACCAAACGTTTCATCATTTGGCAAAAATTCAAGCTTTAAGTGAAAGTCAAATGCTTTTGTTTAATAATAAAGTGTTACTGTGACGCCGTGATTTGTATAAAGCTAGCAATAACATTTCCCCTTGTCCACTCTTTTTATACACGTTTTCTTTCTTTAAGCGTATTCAGTAGTTTTTTAATCTCCTGCAAAATCTTGGTGTGCGGTCTGTTTGGCACAAGATCACAGCCCTCTTAAATTAATTATAAATATGGCTGGGAATCATTAGAGTCACAAAACAGATTTTTTGGTTCCAAGATTTGTGCAGGGAAAGAAAAGTAAAATAGAAATAATATAATAACATTTAGCGCATTTAAACATAGACATCTACAGAGCAAACCTTCCTCTCAGCAATAACGCTCTCTGTGCAGTTCTACAAGCACAGAGCAATAGACTAGAGCAGGAGCACACTGTCCTGCTACACACAAACATACACATACAAATAATAGCATTTGATAAGACCATAAAAACCTCTTCATAAATTAAATAATTAACATGTCTCTCTTTTAGATGATTGGCCTAACCCAACTCAAAAACTACATCAGCACCCGACCCAACTCAGAATAAAAACAGGAAATAAAATACAAAATACATCACCATAATAAACCTGATTTGTTTAGAATTTGTCTTTTGATTCTTTCTCTTGTGGACGTTGGGCCCAGAGTTGGATACATCTCAATAATATTATCTGTACATCTCTACCCAAAGCTTTTTAAATCCATATCTTTGTCATTTTCTTGCACAATTACGTTACCTCAAGGTTTGATAGCACTTTGGAGTTGATTGTTTACAGCTAGTTTTTGTATACATATATTAAACATCAACTTATCTCTTTCATTAAGCTTACTAAAACTAGTCCTCGTCTAGGGCAGCACCAGCGTTGCCCCAGTTTGATTGGTCATTGTCAGTAGGCTCCTCCCCCTCCAGGTCATCCTCTCCATCAAAGTCTTCGTCGCGGGGGAACTCCATGGCCTCCATGGCTTCCAGACCGTCCTGTGTGGCCTGCTGAGTGTCACAGTCCACGCACACGCCGTATCGCCGCGAGCCGTGCTGGATGCCCACGCTCGCCGCTAGCATGAAGATCTTCTTACACACCATGCACTTGTACTTCTTGTCCTTCTTGTGCACCTGGAGAAGGAGAGAGGAAGGAGTTAGTCAGTGATGGACCACAATATTTAGAAAATATATATTTAAATCCAGTTTGAAAATTATCTTGACGACTGGGACAAATATTACATTTTGTCAGACACTCACAACTGAATGTCCATTGTCTGCCCTAATAATTAAATTGCCACTTTGTGGACACACCGGCTTGTCAAAGCCTGATTCCATCAGATCTCAGAAGCTCAGCAGGGCCGGGCCTGAGTAGTACTTGAATGGAAGACCACTGGGAATTCCTGGTGCTACAGTGGGGTGTCAGTGGCAAAACTGTCGTTAAGTCCTTAGGCAAGACACTTCACCCTCATTGCCAAGTATAAAAGTGGTGTGTGTGAGTGATGGTGGTGGTTGGAGGGGCCGATGGCGCAAATTGGCAGCCTTGCTAACGTCAGTCTGCCCCAGGGCAGCTGTGGCTACAGTAGTAGCTTATCACCACTGAGTGTGGCGTGAATGAATAATGAACTGTAAAGCGCTTTGAGTATCTTGAAAAGGCGCTATATAAATGCTATGATCAATTAATTAATTTGAGGTTTAGGCCAAACCACGACACGGAGGCTCATGTACATGCCCCCGCATACGCATGACTTCAGTATATGAGCCCTGTGTCAAGTGTGCTCATGTTACTCATACAAGCAAAACAGTCAATAAACTCTGCTCCAAAACACACAAAGAATATGTGATTACCTTCAGTAACAACAACAAAAGCTTATTTTTCAATTATTATGGAGTTAATTCTAAGCTTAAAAGCAAATCATGAGCTACTTATACAATGTTTTTGTTTGCTTTGTTTAATGTACGTGACTCTCAACCTACTTGAATGTAACTGAGTAAAACATGTCTCACAGACTCAGACTGTACACAGCCCGCAGCAGCACTGTAGCCAGAGGAGCGTTCAAAAACATGGATGCTCACCAGGGAATGTCTCTTGACATGCTCGCGGCGGGTGAAGAGTTTGCCACAGATGTCACAGCTGAAGGAGCGCACACCTGAGTGGATGATCAGGTGCCTTTTGAGCGTGCGCCGGTGCTTAGCAATGTAGTTACAGTGGGGGCACTTGAGCTTATTGAGGGCTAAATGTGACGACTCACCTAAGAAAAATAAAGCAGAGGGGGTTTAGCATGTAGACTCTATACAGCCTGTTAAAATGTATAACCCAGAAAACCTACAAATGTAGAGCCAAAGTGTCAAGAAATCAAATGAGAGAGAATAATTCACTCCATAAATATCAATAAATACAGATACTGAAAAGCAAATTTGTAAATGTTTCTGTTATGTATTATGATCAGCCACAGTCAAAGGAGCCCAGCTCTGTAAACAGTCACAGTCTAATATATGTTTACATTAGAGCCTAAACAGTGTTGGTTATTTCATTGTGTATAATAATTAGAGTAAAATGTCTAGCTTCAGCTTTCTGTCCTGCCTGCCCATTTCCAATCAGAATTAGTAATTGATTAACAACCGTTCCATTTGGACATTAATGCTAACAAGCTGTAGAGGACAGCTGGCAGTTTTCCAACAAACAAACTATTGATTTTGAGAAGAGCCAAGAGCTCGTTTGCCTGTGGAGAGGGGAACAGGGCCTGGCCTTTTGTTTAAGAAACAGGAACAACACAAGCGTCGTCAGGACGGTTGCTATGGGGAAGAGGGCTGATGAGAAGCAGGTCACCTGTGTATTCACTAATAGGGGAGTAGACACGTGTATTTACATACAGAGTGAATTCAGACTACACTCCAGGTCAGATTACAGTTCTATTACCCCAGAACTGGTTGGACCAAGGTGTTCCAACGTTCATGAGGCTTTCAGATCTAGCATACATCGAAATGCAAATAATAACAACAAATAAACATATGGTCACAGTGTTTCACAGTGTTGACCTTTGCTTTGTTAAATCACTGCTTAGAGAATGTGTTGCTTAGATGTTGAGTTAAGTGCAGTCTCTCACCATTCTCCCAGGTTTCCCCTGGCTGTATGTCTTGGATGATGCTGTATTGTATCTGATTGGCCAGTTCTGAAAAAGAGGGAGGGAACAAACAGAAGAGAAAGATGAGAGGCGTTTGATAGTTGGGGGTTGGACACCTCACAACGCCTTGTGTACATTAACTAACCCCTTCAGCACACACAAATGAGACAATAGACGTTAACAACGAGAGCAAACAGCCCACCCCGCCCTCTGCCTACAGTAAAACACTGAGGTGTACGCTTCAGAGGGGTTAATCCAACCAGGGCAGCCAGAGCTCAATTTACAGTCACACTCACAGTCAACTTGAGCTCTGGCGCTGCACTTTCTGCAGCATCAGTAGAAATGTAAAGCCAAATCTCTGGGTATGCTACTTTCACGATACGCATCTCACAGTACAATATTTATTGAGATATTTTGTAGAGGCTAATAATATTAATAATACAATCCAAAGGATGTGACCTAAGATTTAAAAGGGTGTAATAACAGTTATTTCTTCATATATTCTGCCCTGAAACAGAGCAAAGAATCATGGTCTATGTAGTTATTTTTTAGCTATTGCTCCACCGTAACTATTAATTTAAGCAAGAGACTTGCAATTCAACATACTGTGATGGTTCAAGATATTATGAGATATCTGACAATATATCATGCTATTTCAGTTATTGTTACATCCCTAAGCATCAGAAGACTGTGTTTGTGAGTCCCCGCGTCTGTGAGTCCCCGCGTCTGTGAGTCCCCGCGTCTGTGAGTCCCCGCGTCTGTGAGTCCCCGCGTCTGTGAGTCTCTGTGAGTCCCCGCGTCTGTGAGTCCCCGCGTCTGTGAGCCCCCGCGTCTGTGAGCCCCCGCGTCTGTGAGCCCCCGCGTCTGTGAGCCCCCGCGTCTGTGAGCCCCCGCGTCTGTGAGCCCCCGCGTCTGTGAGCCCCCGCGTCTGTGAGCGCCTGTGTCAGTATTTGTAATGGTGAGGACCGCCTCAGTGCATTAGAGAGGAGCTCTGGCCTCTCCTGACTGGGGGGTGTATTGTTCACGTGTGCGGTTGAACAGTCTGTATGCAAATACTATGTACCTGCTCTGCCCTCTCTCAAAGCAGGCACACAGCATCTGTTTGGAGAGAAACCAACTATTTACTGGCTACAAGACCAGAGTCTGGCCTAGCACAGAGTAATGTGAGAACATCCACTACCATGGTAGAATTACTGACCAGTTTATCTAAATACGTGACATCTCACTGGACCAGAAGTGTCTAAGAAATAGTTTCTCATTTCTGCCAAACTATTTAATGACTTTTTGTAGGTCAGGTTACATTGCTGAGTAGCAAACTGCAGTGTTTCAAAAAATATATATCTTTCCAACAAATTACATTGAAATAAATTATATTTAATTATCTCAAGTGGCACAATTTCACTAATGCAGCAAACATAAATTTTGTAGTCAGTTATGGAGCATAAAACATGGAGAATCTTTGTTTACATTTTAGAGCAGTTTTCTCTCTGCAGTAACAAGATCTACTGAAGCTAAAACTATCATTTAGAGTTAAACACCTGCCTCCAACCCTTTTACTATGACTAAGTGTCCACTGTCCAGTATAAACCATTTCTTTATTTGGAAATGTTATGAACATTAACATTTTAAGACACAGAAGTCCTGTGATGTAGAGAGTAGGAGTGAAACACACTGAGCTACAGTAATGCGTGGATGACTATGTGCACATGTTACACTGGTGCAGAGGAGCAGAGGCACTAAGAGCATTGGGCTGCTTTTAGGGAGAGGCCTGAGGGAGAACTGTCTCCCCTTTCTTCATTATCCTGCATTAGAGCGCCCTCTCACTCCCCCGCCTCCCCTGCACTCCACTTAATACAGCAGAGATATCATTATGAGGAGCTGAGCCTAATGGGCCCAGAGCAAAGAGCAGTGTGGCCAGAGATATAAGCATGACTGTCAAAAAACACTTGGACAGTTCTAGAATTAAGAATAGAACATAAAAGTGCTGAAAAAGCACATTTTACACCAGTGATTCAATGAATTAATTATAATATTTATTCAGTTTCTTTGCACGCAATGCAGCGTTGGGGACTTTGTTTGACAGAGCTTGTGAAAAAACAGACATCAGGATTTGAGGTGCAGAGGCACCTGTTGTATAAGACAGAACAGAATCGATTCTTACCTGCGTTTTCTGAGAGAGAGGACAGATCCTCTCGAGGGTATGAGGCTGATGGTTGAACAAACATGCCTTCATCAAAGCCTTCTTCAGGCTCAGGGGGAAAGTTGTACACAAATCGCCGTGTGGTGGTCTGCTTTTTCCTGCGCCCGCTGCCTGCCACTCCATCAGCTGGTTCCCTCTTCACTGCAGCAGGAGCTGCTGCGGCGCCCCCTGTGGGTGGCTCGTTCCAGACGAAAACCTGCATCTGGCTGCCAGCTGCCCGACCGTCATTGGCTTCTGCTGAATTGGGCGAGCTTTGGTTGGCCCAGCTGTCAGAGGCTCCGGGGGTCACCAGGGCACAGCCCTCCCCCAGACTCACCTCCACATCACTGGGCTCCTCCTTGACTCGGCTGCCCAAGTCCTCCGCCGCTTCTTTGCCCTGACTGTTGCTTGCCTTGATTGACAGCTTGGACAGGATGCTTGTGGCCCAGAAGTTGCTTGGCTTGCGGTCTAGCCCCCTTTGTCCCTCTTTGGCCACCGTTTGCCTCTTGTTATAGTCCACCACAACAGAGTCTGGGGCCTCCTGCTTAATGCTGATGTTCAGGGCATCTTTGATGAAGGCTCGGCATGACTGGACCACCTCAGTCATCTGGAGGTAACTGGCCACTGACATGACCTCTATGACGTTTTGGCTTGTGAGCAGCAGGTTTCCAGAGTAGAGGAAATCGAGGATGACAGAGAACCCCTGTACCGCAGCGACGTCCAGGTGAGTGACCGTGGTGTGGTCCTGAGCCTCGCTCTTGGTCAGACAGTACAGGGTCTTGAAGTAACGGCTCCCGGCCACTAGGATGTTCTTATGAGCTCTGAAGACCTGGCCTGACACCACGATGCTTACATCACACAGGATGCCACTCTTTCGCTGCTTGTCCAGCTCTTGCAGCAGCTGGTAACAGTAAGAATTCTCATTGGGTTTGGCGCGATAGTCTTCCTCTGAGCAGTTAGTGGATGGGCTGGTGTTCTCAGAGGTGCGCACTGGCTCCTGTCAAAGAGAGAGAGAAGAAGAAAACATTTAGAATAAACTGACACACACAGGGTGCACCTGTCACCGGCCCAAACTGGTCTGACAACTTCTGGGACGATGGGGGATGTGGGAGCATAAAGGAGTCATTACCTTTCTGTGTAGGATTACAAACTGCTCTGTGTGAAGTGGTTCAACAGCAGACTTTCACATGTCAAGCACACATCTCAAGTCTGATCTGATAATTACATACATTAATGCAATTAATGCATCAATAATGCTTCAATATACATTATACAATTATATATTTGCTCTTTGTTATTATATAGTATCGAAATGTGTGAGGTAGTGTCCAAATAATTTCTTTTATGGCTCAATAAAGTTTGTCCAAGTCTGAATAGTTCAACTGATATTGTAGTGACCTTATCACACACTTATGATGCATGTTAAAAGGAGTACCTCCTTCAGCTGACCACAAGGTGGAGGGCAGTTGGTGGAGAAACAGCATGTAAGAGTGGGCCTGCTACACAAGCAGAAGAAAGCCATGGGTATATTTGTTTACTAAAAATATCAGAGATTTAAATTAGAGCAGATTGTGAGGAGCATGTATGTTGTACATGCCAAAAGTATGTGCCTCTGAGTGTGTGGAAGTCAGCCTCAGAGCTTATGCTCTGCACAGCAGTAGCATACATCTCTAGCTCATTTTAGAATTGCACAGCAGATGTCCTAATCCAGAATAATTCACATTGCTCGAGCCCTGCATTTTTGCCCCCACTCTTCATCTCTGCTACGCACAAACCAGCCCACACGTACACAGCTGGGGTTTCAGGCCCACTAATTCAGATTAAATCCATTTCTCTGAGGTCCCCTCCAGCCCCCGCCCCCACTGCACACTGCAGCCCTGTGCAGCCCGCACAGAGGATAGTAGGGGGGCTTATCGGCCTTTGCCACAGCTGGACCAGAGCGAGGGCCAGGGATGAGATGGAATATAGAGACACAGAATCAAGATGAGATAAGAGGGGGATATGAGCACAGTGGCCTTCGGCCTCAGAGACCTACATTCAGTCCTGCAGCACATTGTGTGCTCCACATGGGGCAGAGAAGAACATCTCTGTAATAGACCAGAGTCTCACATCAAATGTGTTTGATAAATGATCAAGGCTCTAATGAAACATGTAGCTCTGACACTGCAGAGGTCCATCTAACATTCACTATGGCGCCAGTCTATGTGTTCACCAACTTATCTCTGCTTATTGTGACTCCCGAACTGTACTTTATCGGACCAGTAGACCGGCCTTGGCCAGAACATTTCTCCCGATATGAGCACAAACCATTATGAACTCATTCTGATGGTCCTTTATTGCCACATAGAGGCGGGATGTATCCATAGATGTAAAATACAAATACTGGCACAAAGGTAAAAGTCAATTCTCAAAGCTTTTACTTGACTCTTAACAGAGCCTGTACGTTACAATACAACTACAACAGAACAGATAGAATATAGCTACAATGTGAAAGGTTAAAAAGAACACTGATAAGATGAGTACAAAGAAGCCAGTGAGCAGCGAGGGAGACCTTGAGAGAGAAGAAGAGTGTTGGAGGAGGAGGATGTGGAGCAGGGGGAGAGCGAGAGGCAGCGGGTCACCCCATTTTAGCCTGACAATGCTGCGTGTTCTCCCCCAGGCTCATTGTCCACTCACTGTAGGTCTTTGTGAAAGGCCTGTGCACTCACCACTCGCTCCTATTACACAGTCAGAGAAAGAGTGCTGCTGTGGCTGAGCTGAGCACGGACAGATACAAATGAGACCATGATATACACTTCAAAGCCTCTGGAGGAGGTGGTCAGGTGGAGAGGGCACCAGAATACATCACCGTGGACACAACAGGAGGAATGGGCTTTAAAGATGGACTGTCAGGGTTTGAGTGGTGCTTTCATTGCTTTGGATCATTTCATTTAAACTTAAGCTTTGAACTGAAAACAACAAAGTCAGATTTATTTTAGTGAGGGCCACACTGTGTCAATGTGCCCATTTTTGGCAGTCAGGCAGAAAAGAAAGCTTCTGCTGTGACACAGTCACACTCTAAATTACAATTTAGAGAAACAAAACCGACACCATCAAGACAGACCCTTGTGCTTTTATATTGTGACTATCTATGCACGCATGTAAAATTATGACTTGACTGTTATAACTCCAACTCTAAGATTCTTTACAAAGCAAAGAGGAGGGCTGGAGAGGTGTGCCTTCTCTGTGTGCTCTGTGGACGGCCTGGTACTGAAGCAGCCTCATCCTTTCTCCAGATGTGCCACGTGTGAGTGCAGCTGGAACCTGCACAGCAGATGCTGTCTGCACCAAACCTGCTTGTATGAGGCTCCAGAGGCAGCGCCAAGAGACAATATGGGGACAATATTAACCTCAAGTCGAGCCTCGGCAAGTTTCTCAGAGTTGAAAGGATGGAAAATACCTTTATGTGTAATTTTGTGCTGTTAAAATATTTAAAGAATCGTGTCCAAAATAAGTTAAATATGACTATAGTTGTACTTATATCAGTAATATACTGTTATAGAGCAATTGAGACATATATTTTATATGACTGGCATCTTAGGGTGGCAAGCAGTGTAGCCACTCCTCAGGTCATGTGACACGGCTCTGTCCTGGTCCACATAATGACACAGTGGAGACACTTGTTGTTTACCTTGTATGCACACATGTTGCCTAGCTCCCTGCACCCCCCTCTCCACACACTCACCATTTAAGCAGTCCCATGACCAGCCCTGCCTCCAGGCCATCTCCACTGCGAGCCCATCTACAGTATCCCACCCTCACCCAACCAGTCTGTCCCCATGGCCGGAACAATACCACAGTGTGCCTTTGGCCTAAGGTGTGGGAGGACTGAGCCGAGACTGTCCCGGCCTCTCAACAATGCTGTGACAGAGGAGACACAAGGGGGGCCCAAAACCAAGGGACAATTCTCCCTCTGGAGCACCCCGCCCTGTTCCACTGACCTGTGCCCCCCAATAAACGCGCCGTATATCTCACAGGCAGCAAACACTACAGGGCGGGTCCTCTTTCCTTTCGGGGGGACTAGCCCTTAATGTGTTTGTACTATGCAACTGAAAAGATGGGAAGATTGTGGGTATCTGCAACCTTTGTGTTATCTGAAACCTAAGTCAAACAAGCTTATTTCTACAAAAACACAAGACAAAGTAGAGAAGCTGAAAGCAAAGCGGCAACAGAAATGACTGCATGGGTTAGCATAAATATGTAATTACAATACAGTGTATGCATTAAGGATGAACAAAGATGTCATATGTGGACACGATTGGAGAAGAAAGCCTGTATAATGTTACTGTACAATGATTTCACTTGTATTATTAACATGGGGTCACGCTGGAGCTGATATAGATTGTGTTAACCTTCACTCATCTTATTCATTTCAGCAGCAGCAGTTTGGGAAGAGAGTCAGAATAGGACAACGTCTCAAGAATTTAGGACAACGGCCCCCTTCTCCGAGCAGAGACCCACATTCACCACAGCTGCCCTGGTGTGCTAAAGCTAATCGAGTTAGCTTTAACGAATGCAGCACAGGCCTGACTAATGTTAGGAATGGGTGAAAAGAACAAGACATTGCCTCGTAACACTGTAATTGCCCCCATAATATGCACTTTCTGCATTTGTGAAGTTGTACCCTACGTGTTGAATACATGTTATCAACATGTGAGTAAAATATTACATGCACCAATAGGTCTGATAAAATTCTGTGATAATAGTTTTGGGGCTTCGTTAGGTACACAACACCTTGGCCCTGGTAACCTCTCAGCTCAGTGTCTGGGGTCCTTGTTGCTAGGGAAAAGTCACACCAAGCCCCTAATCCACTCCCACTGCTCTCCTTACCAATTAAGAGATGTGTTCAAGTTAGTGCATCACTAAGTCATGCTGATTAGTGATCGCGTGTACCAAGAAAGGAACTAAATGTAGTGTGCCAATCCCCTTCACTCAGAAATCACAGTCAGATAGCAGTCACTCTTAATAGCAATGACCGTTTTAGTCCATTGACACGATCTGAGCTGGGACCATTTCAATAAAATGTAAACTGAAGTATGACTTGCCCTTTGATACTAATAATTCAGATATACAGACTCTATTAAATGATAACAACATTGACTTCTATGTTGCAATACAAATGATCAAGTAGGAGACTCTATTAAAGGCCATAATAGCACCATTATAGGGTACAACCTCAAGAATGAATTAGTGGATAATCGCATGATAGTGAATTAGGTGAAACAGTGGTGAGCATAGATTGCGTCTAGCATAGGATGGGGTTCTAATCATGAGATATGACCCGAAGGGAAAACAATAGAGCCCATTAATACAGAAATACCCAGGGTCCCAAGTCAGGTGATGCCGTGACATCCTATTACTGACATCTATTTCCCTGATTCAAGCCTACTGAAGAACGCTGCATCTGGGCTTGGCAAGCTGTCAAGCTCCAGGCAACATAATTTACTCCCCTCCTCTTGTCCAGCCTTGCAAGTGACACCATGTATGGATTTTGGGGGGTCATCTAGCACAATGCCTCTAATTTAGCTCCCCCAAAGGGAGGAGGGGGGAACGAGGCAGAGGTCAGGTCGGACTGCGAGCCTACAGAGCAGAGTCACAGGCAAACAGGCGGGGGGTTGGGAGAGGGGTGCGGTTCCCCAAAGGCTGTTAGGGTCAAGCCCTTGCCATTGTGTGACCTCTTGCAAGCTTTCAACCTCTGGACAACTGCTGATCAGATTAAAAAAATACTGTACAGACAGAAAGACAGGAAAGAAAGAAAAACATATTTCTCATTATTAGAGAGGGCAATAAAATAGGAGATACTTAACAGAATAGTACAGATGAGTCAATAGACGGCAGGTGTCAAACACACAGAGACTGCATTATGTGGTTTATCTGGACATGTTTAGCCTATTGGAGCAGCAGTCAAAAAACAAATAGAGAAAAGAAAAACTGCCACTCTAACAGAAAACCCTCAGGGTGTGTGTTTTATTCACTGACTCTGTTACACATTAGCCTTTCCACCGCTCTACCTGTACCTTCATACTCAGCAGAGCTACAAGCGGCTAGTCGGCTAAGCTAGTGGTTAGCTTAAGTTAGCAGGGTTGAGAAAGCTAATTAGCCCAGAGAAGGGATTGTGGGGCTTAGGTAGTCTATTTTCGCATATGTTGGGGTTTCAGAGGGACACACAAACCAAAAAATACACGCGACACGAATTAACTATTTACACAGACACAATACTCGACGGTAGTAACGATGTAATATGGCTTTAACTAAACGAGTCAGTGTAAAAAGGCTAAAAGTACCTGTTTGGTGGGGTCATTCCTGCCGTGCTCTGAAGACAGGTGATGCCTGAGCAGCAGGGCCCGCTTGTAGTTGCGGCTGCCTTTGACAAGCTCGTCGCTGTTTTTTGTGCCAATGTTGTGGCACCAGGAACACGACATAAGTCCCGTTTCTTGGCAGAATTTTAGCCAGGGGAATTCTTGAAGCCATGAAGCGTGAAACAGTGCGTGTTTCTGGAGCAGTGTCTGCGGTCTCATCTCGACCCCAGATTTCCTGGACTCGCTGCCGCTTCCCGTTTCCAAGCTGTCGGCGCTGCTGGGACCGTTCCCCGCTGTCCAGCTAGCCCCCTCCCCGGACCCGTCCTCCGTCTCACGGTGACTGTCTTCTTGAATCCCCGCTGCCCAGCTGCCCCCTTCCGGGTCCTCTTCTTCCTCCTCTGCTTCGGGCTCCGTGCTGTCTCCTTCCACTCTCTTCTGTGACGGTCCTTTCGTCCCCAGATCCCCGTCCTCCTCTTGATCCGGCCTGGTCCCGTTCAGATGTCGGTCTTGACAGGCCGGGGCCTCCCAGCTGTTACCGATACTGGACCCCGCAAACGCGGCCATTCCACCTCCTCGGAAAGCCAGCGACCTGCGGTTTCTTTCCCCAGACATTTTCACCTAAAATAAATGTCAAACTGCACTTTCCAAACACTACGCTCCTCCAAAACAAATGATTAAACTGTAAAGTGTGTATTTTCCGAAGGAGATGGCCAGTCGTCGTGTCGTTTCTCCGCTGTGGCCCTCCCGGCGAGAGTATGTAGGTTATGCGGAAATAAATAAAGGTTTTAAAGGCATAATGAATTTGAGGGTTCTCGCTGCGTCCGCGCAGGCCCCGCAGAGGTCGAATGGCAGCGACTTTCCTCCCCACAATGCACCTCGACCAGGGACAGGGGGGCTGGGGCGGAGGGAGGGGGCGGCTTTTAAAGGAAGATGGGGGTGCTGTTCATCTGGGCTTGTGTGTTCAAAAGCTGCACCCATTTCCCGTATGCCCTTCATCTGTAGCCGTTTCCTTGTATTATGGCCATTACACCGACTGCTCCCCATGTAACACGGGGCGATAATAAATCGGGGCTTCCGTGACAGCAAGCTAAAAGCAAGACATCAACAACGCCAAATGTGTTGTGTTAGGAGTTTGTACTATTATAATACTTATTAAGACATAGAAAATGGAAAAGCTGAACAATTCCTTTTAAATTTGTTACAAATATGGTAGGTCTGCACCACCAGCCCTTCCTTATAAACTTGTTTTATGCCATTTTGTGTTTAGTTTTTGGCTTTCCACAAAATTGGTAATACGTTAATAACATTGCTAATAGGTTAAGTCTGCCACTTTTATAAATCACCAAATGGTATATGGTCATTAATATAAATAAATCTGAAAGCATAATACAAATGACTAAAATGTGGGCAGTGTGAATGTCCATATTAATTTACAGTAAGTCCAGTAGATGGCAGCCTTTCCTGTCATGGTGGGAAATGTTTGTGTTTGTGACACACTTGCAAAATGTTGAAATAGTTGCCTTTTATTGTTTGAATGATACTCAGAGAACAGCTCACAATAATCCAGAAGAAACATTACAACACTAGGGTATATCTGAACCATACAGTGACAAAATATGTAAGACGCAATTACACAAAGAAATAGGTATTATGTATGAGAGAATCATATTAAAATAGTAGTTAATACTACTAGAAATAACCCAACTGTGCTTCAAATTAGACTATTTGCACACGAATGTATTAATTTGCACAACTGCATTTTTGTCTCTTAAAGCCAATTCAGCCAACAACCCAGCAAGTCATTTCTGCGTGATTAACAATTAACAATAGATTACAATATATGTTATTATTAGTAAACACGACTGAACTGATTGAAAGACTTGTCATCCGCTTTTGCTGTGGATGACAAGTAAAACTTGATCCACGTGCTCGCTTGTGTTTACACTGCAACGTAATGACGTCACATCAGACCCCACCCCTCACGTCGAGCTGCCTGGCAACCAGGGCCACGAGCTGTGAACAGGAAGATCTGTCGCAGTAAAAGGACAACCTGCGCCCTGGACATAAACTTCAGAGAAACTACAAAAACTTCTCTCAGCTGCACCATGGAGGATGCAGATAAAGGTAACACACTAATGCATGAGTTTTATTGTTTTTCACTGATTAAAAATAACTTTAGTTTAAAAGTTACCAAACTTTATGCATTGTGAGGGAGACCATATGGAACTCAAGCTTGATTAGTGTAGGTTTTGTGTTGCAAAGTCTAGCTTACTTTTATATAGAAAATACGTTTATAATAAGAAGGTACGACATCTTAAATAAGTGTCAGGAATGAGGAAGTCTAAGCTATTGATCAATCACAAAGAGGCACACATTTAGGCTGTAGCCTATGTTTCTGTTGTCATGGGCTTAGTTACACTATAGACTTTAGTGGGGCTCTAAAATGAAAAAGTTGACTCCCTTTAAAGTACTTGAAATGTGTTTAGTTTGTGCACCTGACAGCTTGTAGGCCTGTGAGGTACACCCCTGCTGTTCCAGTTCTTCAAGCCCACACCTATTGTAGTCTGTTATTGAGCAAAGATTATAAACCTATTCCAACATTGTAGTTTTGTTTGTTTAAACACTTTGGGAATTAAAGGTCAAACTGAAGGTGATTCTTTTTAACTCCTCTGCTTGATACACACATTTCCTGTCATGCTGCACAGTCATGGCTTCACTTCCCTCTCAGTTTTCATCTTTTCCATTCATGTGCGAGTTTCTGACCATTAGAAAGTTATAAAGCCAAAAGAAACACCTTTCTGCTTCTGCCTGGGTGATTGCATTTGTCATTTTTTTGATTACCTAACTTTACATAATTTCATATCTTGAAGTGAACAAGCGCTACTTGTAAGGACAGTATAGGACCTAGGCCGGGCTTGTCAACAGATGTCATCAGTCTGACAGTTTACTCTTGTGATTAGGTAGAAAAACAGAGTCTTAATCAGAGCAGAGAGGGGGCCCTTGTCCCGTGAGCACAGTTCCTCTTTGAGCCCCTGATTGAAGAGCTCTGTCCTCACATTCCAACACTTATTGATTTACATTTGACTTTATGTCTTAACAGTCTGGTATAACAGTTTAGAAAGAAATGCTCAGTGTAAATAATGCAAATAATATATATATTTTTTAATGAAAATATGATATATTTTTGAACACAGTGTTCTGATTAATACATTTTGAAGATAATATGATTGACTTGAACTGCATTGGCTGATATTTTTCCAAACTATTCTAGACTCACTGTCTGCTTGCATAACATTTGAAATAAAAGTTGGGTTTCTTACATTTTATAGGAAATTAGCTCTAACTCAGATCAGATTTTAGAAAATGAAATCCTTAATCATTCCATGCTGATTTGCCCATAACAAGATTGATCATAAGTGGACAACTTTTTGCTGAAATTAGATTTCCAAGTGGTAACATTCAGGTCAAAGGGAGTCACAGAGACCGTTAGAAACACAGGCTGGTCCTGTATGTTGTTTGGGCTGCAAACACAGGAATATTCAGGGCCAAATCAAAGCTTATAAAGAGTCATGCCACCTAGATGTTACACTGCAAATAGAGGAAAGTGATCTGAAAATTATCAAGCATCCATCAAGCTGGACAAAAAGAAGTCTAGTTGTTTTTCAGAGATTACTGAATCAGCTACAAAATAATAATAATAATAATAATACTACATAAGATATTTTTCCTGTGTTCTTTTTTCACTGGTGGTGCTCCCTCCATCCACCATGTGGTGCTGCTCTGTTTAGGTGTCTAATAAAATCATTCTTGTTTCTGGCTGTAGGTGCTGTTGTCGTACTCTTTAGACTGGCCTTGCTTTGGTGGCTTGTTTTCTTGTCTGTGACTTGCTCGTTGTTTTTGAAGGTGTATAAACCAGCATTTTTATAGCCTGCTGTGGTGTTGTTTAGGTGTTGTACCCCACTCTATCTACATTAAACTTAAATCTAAGACAACCTTTTAATATATTGTCTTGACCAAACAGGAGCAGTTCTTTGTCCCATGCAGGATGGGAACTGTGTGGCGGATGGACAGTTCTCTATGTCTCATGATTCTTGTCTTAGACTATCATGTGACACAGTGTGCCATGGATATTATGTAATTAAAGTCGTGCTGTGGGTTATTAAGCTCTCCAAAATGTTTGTTGTGACCGCTGCAGTGGATATTGAGCAAGCTTTAAACTTCAAAATAAAATAATTGACTGTATAATATGGCAACATTTTTATCATCATAATCATCTCAAATTGATCGATCATAATCATGATTTTAAAAAATATATATATTTATTATACTGATTTTGTGGATATAAACAATATATTTACAGACTTTTTCCATAGTGTGCACTGAGGGTTTGTTATGAGTCAGGGCTGTAGGAGGCAGTTTAACATTCTTTAGACTTTTAGAGCAATAGCTTAAGATCCCACGTTGTTTCAGATCTGGTCTTGGTGTGTCTAAGTTTATTAAATGAATGTGGAAATCAGCCTTTAGTCAAAGAGACAGAGATGTATATTATTTTATTAATTCCTAAATTAAGTCCTTGCTGGAGATTTGGATTAGATATTAAACTAAATGTCCAAACGTCTTAGTATAATATTTCATGGCATATTGCAGAGAGACTGTATAAGGCTGTATATACTGTAAGGCTGTAAGGCTGTATTTTAGACATGTTGTCTATGGAAGGTACTCACAGAGTGCAAAAAAGGAACACAGTCACTGTATCTAGGTCCTCCTTTTGTATTTTAATGTATTGCTTCAACAAAATAATGCATTTAGAAACAAGGCCTTGTAATTTGATATTGTAACCATTCTAGCTATGGGCTCATACAGACTATTTTCTGATCTATGTTATAATGTTGTTTAGTCATCACAAACATACCAGGAGTTTTACTTTTCACATGTTTAACACACAAACCATTCATATATATTTAGGGTGAGTTCTCTGTCCCTCCACTGTGTTTTTAAACTCCATTTGCCTTCACTAGAATCATTTGGATCTCAACTGTGGAATTGTTCTTCTAAAGGAAAAAGCTGTTATCCAGGAAACTACTGCTTCATGACATCACAAGGTGGAACCGAGCATTTTGAGTTTTGCAGATGAAGACCAATTATTAATAAAGGATTACTCAAACATGTGTGAATGAAACAAAACACATCTCTGGGTTTTGAGGAGGTAAGAGCACTATAACATGATTTAAAGCTCATAAAAATTAATTTTGTGCAACAAAAGATCTTTTTAATAAGAGTTTTTAATATTGTAAAATCAAAGGTTTTGTTAGAATTTAAGTTTGGTTCTTAATATTTTTGTGATGTAGTCTTAAAGATATATTGTTGAGTTTTCCATAACTACAAATTACCCATGCATGTTTGAGCACCAAAGACCACTTTCGCTTACACAGCCCTTTTAGCTCGGGGCATCCTCTCTCCTCCATTCTGACTGACCGGTATTACCGCTACTGCTGCCTCTTGTGGATTATCGCTTGGCTGTAATCTGGGACACCACAGATTACAGTGCTTTTCATCTCCTCTCCCTCCTCGCCCCCTTCTGGTCCATCTCTATTGTCACGTGAACGATCCAGCCAAATGGGACCCTTTTCTCTTCTTGAATGACACGCCGGTGATGGTGGAAGAAAGCAAAGAGGGAGGGAGTTGATACAGAGACCTGGGAAATTGGTGTCACGCAATATCAGTAGCACAGTTTGAATAGATACAGGACAGGAGCGACCTTTGGGATAGCTGATTCAGGCAATGGTAACTTATTAACATATAGAGAAAGATGTGTGTGACCTCTTGAACACAAAATTGCAACTAAGTTTCTATGCAGTTACAGTGAGACGGGCGATACAGAGGAGTGGATCACATGAAGTCAATCAGGACAGTGCCGGGGGTGCAGAGGTAGCTGTGGTTCAGTAGGCGGTGTGTATTGGTCTTATTGGTAGGGACAGCGGTAGGAATGGAGCCACTAGAGGAGTACCAGTCTCCCTTTGACTTTGAGCAAGGAGTCAACACCAGCTACCTGTATCTGTCCCCGGCCTACAGTGACACGCCACCCAGTTCTCCTGCATCCAAGAGCAGAGGTAAGGCTGAGGAGAGAGAGGGCACGGCTGGCACGAAGTTTGTTTAGTGACCTTTAAAGAGGAGGGAGGGGAGGGAGTGACAGCTGTTTAACTTAATTTTCATTTTTGTCATCGGATCATTTTTTCCTTCTTGTCACTTACTGGTAATTTTGTTGTTTTCAATGTAGAGAAAGAGGAAGAACTGTTGACCTGATGTATTGCATCAAGTGGATCTACTCTGTTTTAAAGTGGTTTCAAAAATATTGTCAACAGTCACTATTATATTTAGATTTTAACATTCAACTTCTACCAAAGCTTTGTAATCAAGTATTCATCGGTTTTATCTTCCTTTTATAGGTGACATTTTGAGGACAATTTACCATTCATAAGATATAGTACTTAGTTTTAAATTGTCATTTGTTATAGCAACAGCGCAACATCATTCAAAAACCCATTATAAATGTTATATAATGACAGTAGTTTAGTAGCTTTTTATAGCTATTCTATACACTATTATGTATTATATTATTCACACTATAGTTCAGCTTTTACTTATATTATTGCATTGTTTATGTTCAGTTATTATGTGACATTTTACATGTTTCTATCTTGTACTACTTCATCTATCTGATGAAGTAGTACAAGTGATACTAGAAAACTCACAAATCCTTACAAGTTGATACTTAAAGTACTTTGTTTGATCCTTGACCTACATTGTCTTTTGGGTTTTGCAGTAAGATAATTATGTTACTGTAGCTTTCAGACATGTTCACGATGTACCCGTTTGTGTAGCCTGCGGTTTTACATTTTAATTAGCTGTTACGCATTTGACAGTCTTCTCATGGTTTGCTGGTTAAGAAGTTAGACATATTAGTTTTAAGTGGTTTAATATTCAAGTTTATTACCTACGATGTGAGCATCTTGTCATGCTAACTATTTGAAACATAAATTTAAAGGCACTGCACCTGATTTTTACTGAAGAACAAAAATGTGAAAATCAGAAGATCATTTTCAGTGGTCTGCAGTAATCCAAAGTTATTTATGCATTCTGAGTATTCCAAATTATTCATCATGACAGTAAAGCTAACAGCAACTAGTATGCTAACGTGCATGTCCTGATTAGGTGACAATGAAACGCTCTCTAATTAGATGCAGACCGCACACATTAGACTTGTTTTGACCCCAAGAGCCAATTATTTTGCTCAAACACATGGGGATAAAGTGGGTACAGGACCTTTACTGTCAGTTTTGTATGTCAGACTGTGAGTGCCCTGTATCTTGCACTATGCAGAATGGCACTGGTGCATTTGCTGCTCTACAGTAATAGGAGTAGGGGGCACATGTAAGACAAGAAGAGCAGCTCTCAGGGTTGTGCCCATTCTTTTGTAACCACTCACAGGGACAATGGGTTTTCAAGGAAACCAGTTTTCTTTGTATTTTTCCCACAGATTCTTATACTGCACATCTTGAGTTGTCTCAGTAAAATACAGGCATTGATTTCCAGTGGGATGTCTCACTTGAGCGTGTACTGACAGATAAATACTTGTGTTGTCCAATCAACTCTTGTTATTCCCATGACATTAATTATCATACAGAGTGCTAATGCCTGGGCCCAGCTCTCAAATTATCTGATTTTCAGACTCAAGTACTTGTCTGTTTGGAGTTCTTAACACAATTATATATAAAATCTTTTTTTCTTTGTTGGAGAAAAAAAGTCCAAGTCTTGTGAATAGCTATTTCCGCCATCACAAAATGCCCATCTGTCTCAGTTAAAATGTTTTGAAATGTTGCAACTATTTTGTTTCGACATGAAAGTAAATGGATGCCAAGGATTTGGAAAGAAGTGGGAAGATACATCTTATGTCAAGTCAGACTAATGCCATGGATATACAGTCAGCTGTGCAATAGAGTTTTAACACTTTACTTCTGTTTACAGATTGTGGACTGCTGGAGCTTTTCTTTCTCTTGCCTGTTAACTTTATACATCCACAAACTTGATATGATAATCATATGATAATCTTTTTTCTTTTAACAGGCCCATACTATGCTATCTTATAATCTATGTTATAATGTTGTTTCCTCATCAAAAACATACATGGAGTTGTGTTTTGTTTCATTCACACGTTTAACACACACACCCTGCATATTTAGGCTGAGTTTTTCCCTCAAACAGAAACTATGTTCCACCTTGTGATGTGGCAATACAGGAAGTGTGCCATTGTGTTTTAATCTCCATACATCTTCACTAATATCATCTGGATAATTTCTGCCCTGGAATTGTCAGTCTCTACTGAACAAAAGGTAAAAGGTAGCTGACTAGCTGTTAACTCCAGGTATGTTTTTGAGGACATAACAATTTTATAACCTGACCGAAAGTTCACAAGAGTCAATTTAGCATAATGTAGGATCCTTAAACATTAACAATACACAACATTATTCTATTATAAACACTTGTATGGTGATCTCAGATTAATATTATGGTAGGACATATTTACATTATCTTATTAGTTTGCAATTCAACATTTTTAATTCAGTTGTGAATGTAAGTGTGTTATTGAGAGCACTGATGTGTTCACATAATGTGTTTATAATTGTTCTATTAATGGAGCTAATGAATTGTAAAATGTGTTTCAATGCACCCTAGAAGAAAAAGCTGGCTTTAGGGTATAGTTAATGTAATGGGGGATTCAATATAAACAAATATTTATCCCACCCTAACTGACATAATACTGAAGAGTTGTTGTAAAGAATAATATATTAATGGCCCTATATTGTGCAAAACTGACTCTTGGGAGATTTAAGCCATGTTAGAATGTTGTTACTTCAAAAACATACCTGGAGATGTGTTTTGTTTCATTCACACATGTTTGAGTAACCTCTTATTATTAGTCTGTCTACATCTTCAAAGCTCAAAATGCTCTGTCCCACAATATGATGTCATGTAGTGGTCATTTTTCATTTAACAGCTACTTCTTACTTTTAGTTCTGTAAATATTGGCAATTCTAGGTCTGAAATTGTCAAATTATTCTAGTGAAAGTTTATGGAGTTTAAGAACACAGTGCAGCATTTACTGTATCACCACATGGCATCACAAGGTGGGACAGGGTTTTTTCTGTTTGAGAGAAGAACAAAATATGCAAGGTTTGTGTGTTAAACATGTGTAAATTGAACAAAACAAAACTCCAGGTATGTTTTTGATGAGGAAACAACCTTATAACGTGGATCAGAAAATAACATAATATGGGACCTTTAAGCTTTTATAAGTAATTATTTTACTTTCATGATCTGGCCCTCAGTATTTCTGTAGTAGAAACTGTGCTGAGGTCACTTAAATAATGAGTGCATTTTTGCCACAAGGTTGGTCCAGTGTCAGTGTGTTTGTTTACCTATAGCTGACAGTGAACCACGCGTGAGATATATTTTTCAACAGTTCCCCTGACCTCCTTCCTCTCATTGTTTTTCATTCACCTCTTCTGTTTCCTCTTTTTTTTTTTTATCTTTGCTTCTCTTATTTTCACCAGTGATTTTTAAATCCCTTTTATAAACCCAGATTTGATCATACTGACAAAAAACACCTTCAGAGAACACGTTTTCATTTCCTCTTTTGTCCATTTGAGTGACAAATCCTTACAACCCTTTGGCTCTCACGCTGTCAAGCTCAGGATGTCTCTATCAAGAAAACTTCTGTGTATTATTGATGTGCTGGTCCTACTGTGCTGCTAGAAATAAGATGTATGAGAGATAGGGAAGGTGCATGTTGGCTGCTATGTTGGAAGATAAAAAGCAGGTCCCCCATGATGCACACCTAGCATCAAACAGCATCCTTGAGCATCCTTACTTTTGTAGTTCTGCTTCTGATAGCCCCTAACCCTTAAACACCCCCTTATAGCATGACAGATTTTGTTTGACAGTCAACTTTAGCCTATCCTCTAAGTGCTGATACAAGATAATCTACAAAAAAAATCAGTTTCAAACATGGCTATCCCAGGATAAATTTGAGTTCTTTTGTGGTCTCCTCTCTTGTAGGTTCCCAGCTGCTCACAGACTCTGCTCCTGAAGTGGGAGAAGATGCAGTGACGAGTGTTGAGTCGCCTGCCCCGCCACCTGCCATGACAGAGGAGGAGAGGCAGGAGCTGCAGGAGGAGCTGCTCAAGGTCAGGTCAAAGGTCAAGGGGAATGGAATGGTCACGAGCTCCACTAGTCTGACTTTCTGAAATCAATCAATACTAACATCCCATAGAGGGGGAGGAGGAGGATGTATCAAATGTGTCCACATAACTGTAGAAATATGTCACCAAAATCCTAATGAAAATGAAAATGATTTTTCTTTTATTTTAGAGGTGATCCACAATATGTTTTCAGTGTGATTGTTGCTGTTGTGATTGTAGTTGGGCTGTCTGATTTGATGGGTTTAAACACCCATTAGAACAAATCATAAAAATATAAGCTTGACAATAGCTTCTATGTTGTCACAATTATGGCAGCATTTTTATATCAACTGCAAAATATAACTGACATTTTTATCCATAGGTTGAAGATGAGATCCAGACTCTGTCACAAGTGTTGGCAGCCAAAGAGAAGCAGGTAGCAGACATAAAGAGGAAGTTGGGAATTACACCTCTCAATGAACTCAAGCAGAACATCAGTAAAACCTGGCAGGAGGTCACCACCTCCACTGCGTAAGTACACCCATAAAACCAGTGTCATAAGTGTTTGCCTTGTCTTTAAGTTATTAAAGTATCAACATAGGCACAAGTCTGTACTTCTACCTGCAAATTCCATGTATCTGAGACAAAGGATGTCTGTGAACTGGATAAGCTGCCTATGTCTACTGTAAAACAGATTCACATGCTTGCAGGAAATGAGCAGTTTCTTGAGGGCATGTTAAAATGAATGAAGACAGTGACGTTGGCTGCAGAGCTTGATGCCTCTCCTCTTTGATCTCATGTCTGTTTCCATGGAGCTCATATCCTCCTTCTGTGTCTGTTCCAGCTACAGAAGGACGTCAGAAACTCTGTCCCAGGCCAGTCTGAAGGCCACCGCCGCCTTCTCTACTGTGGGCTCCGCCATCAGCCGCAAGCTCGAGGATGTCAGGTGAGCCCTTGCCACACTTGACACATGTCGAAGGGAGAGGTACTAAGGGAATATATGTTCTGTATCGTCAAACTCCCCTCTTCCCTCTTATCTGTCAGGATGCACTCACTGACGGGGAATACTTGAAATGACAGGACTCACACTTCCAAATGCGGGATAAAAAGGTGCAGCTCTAACCTCAAACTCAGCCTGTCATCTGAACTTCACAACCATGACAGTTACTTGTAATTATGCATTGCATTATGCATGAGTTCTTCCACAAAATGTAGAAAGGTGAAGAAATAAGAAACATGTCCATGTCTCTTGATCATTAGTATTTTTTATTACTACAATCATACAATTTTCTATATTTCTTCCTATGATAATCTGAAGGCATAGAACAACCAAACATTAAATTAAGCATTGATATCATCATGCCTTAATAGCAATCTAGTCAGGTATTCGTACATTTACAGTTGCCTATGAATAACGGTAAAGAGCTCTGTATTATAAGGATTTTGAGACACCCACAACTGACTGTTCACTTTGGGACATGCCCCGTGTTGACCCCAAACCCCCTCCCAACCCCCAGGTCCTAATCTGTCTTTTCTCCTGTCATCCTCCTTCTCTCTGGATTACTGAGCTGCAAACAAGATTATTAGGCCCCTGAAAGCTGCAGTGTGCTGAGAAATGCACCCTCACGGACCATGAGGCTGTGCCAGGCCTGTGCGGGGGGCTGAGGTGGGGGCGGGCAGGAGTGCAGGGTCAAACGGTTTAAACATGTGTGTGTGTGTGCATATATTCTTCTGCTGCGTGCCTGTGTTTGACGACAAGATTTCCGCCGTAATACATAGGATTAACACACACCCACTGAGTTACTACACAATCGATCTTAATGGGATGAAGTAGGATTTATTTGCACTCATTCAATGTGTGGTAAAATAAATAAGGGTGCATACACGGACCATGAATTTGTCTGCCTTCTCTGTCTCTTTATCTCTGACTAACCCCTCTTTCTTCTCCATAATGCATTCGGATAGCATGCGCTCAATTCAACACTCGGCTAGTATGCCAGTGATGAGGTAAGTTTTCCTACTTTGTGCACATACTTTTAACAATGAGTTATGATCTGTACTCAGCCTATGATCCCACCCAGATTGCCCTAAGTATGTGGACCACCTCTGTGAACGCAAAAGCAAATTCTACATCTTCATAGCAAATACATTATTTACTTAAGTACAATTACTGAGCATTAATAATGTACTGCTTTTGTTAGGGAAAATATTATAGGTTATAGTAGGCTGTATCTATCCTGTGTGTTTCAGAATAATGAAAAAACAGAACAGTTGCCTTAAAGATTAATAAATAAAAATCAAATATTATATCTTTTGAATGGGAAATAAGTCTTCAAAATGTTGCATGTAACGGGAAGATGAAACCCATTAGTAAAATGTAGTAAAGAGGCAACTGTGCAGCCTAAATACTTGCAGTTGACCCTAATATAGAAAGTAATTTGTGTGAAATAAACAAGATTTTTTTTTACAAGTTTTAACAGTGTTACAGATACTAAGCATACCCTTAGACTAAGTTCATCTTTTTTTTTTTAAGCATACAGTCATTGTAAGGTTTGTAGGCAGCCAAAATACCCTGTTTTCACTAAAGAAAAAACGCTCGTATATACCACACAGTGTCCCAGGCTGTAGTTATGTTAGCAGTTATCAGTGAAGGAGCAGCTTTCATAATCTGTCAAAGCCAGACCTCCACTTTGTCAAGCTCACACTTCTCTGGCAAAAATCTAGTTCCACAAAACAAGATATGGCCTAAAGATGATAACGCCCAATTTCAGAAACGGTTCCTTAAGGACACTTTAGGTAACTTCGAGTAGCTTTAGTGCCTGCGTTGTATTTTCTGTGAATGTCAGGTAGCTTTTGAGTTTCAGACACACCTCATGGGACATTTCCAATTCACAGGAAAAGAATGAACTCACCTCAAAAGTGTAGTGTATCTGACGTGGATCGGGTTACAACATGACCTGGAAAGGCACAATTGCTACCAATGCGTTTTCCTTTTTCCCTTTATAAAGCTCTGCCAGTAATAAGTCTGTGTGAATATGTCTGCGTGTGTGTCCCCAGGAACACGCCAGGATTCAAGTCCTTTGAGGAGAAAGTGGAGACTATAAAGGTAACTAACGGCCTTGTGGACTGTGTTAATGTGAAGTGGTAAGGAGACTTGGAAAATAGATTTGGCCGTGCATGTGACGCCAGATAACAGCAAGTATGCAACAGGAATGTACACAGGAAATTTCTTGCATTTGTTCCATTGTGTGGGTCCTGGTCATCTCTTATAAGGTAGATTCCTCTTCTTCCTTTGCCTTTATATGGTAAATGTCCATCATGAAACACAAAGGTTAATCAGTAATTACACATTATTAATATATAGGGTCAGTTTTATGTGGTAAAAAGAAAATACTAAATAGTTAAATCAGCACAGTGCCATGGTGAACATTTTAAAACAAAATATTCTATAAAAGTAATGATAAATTATATAATATTCTAACAATAATCAACAGATACATTAATCGAATAATTTTACATTACCAATCATGAATATAGTCTACAGTATGTCTACTATAGTGTATGTTTTAAAGGAGAAAAAGTCACCATAATGTTGCATTATATAGCAGGATGTTCAAACCTACAGATAGATTTACTTATAACTGGATAACATTTTACTATTTGAAAAAGACAGGCCATTTGTACATCATCACACTAAATATTACACCAGCGAATAGAATAAGGCATTGTTGGTGAAGGATGTGGTCCATATATGAGGAACCTCTGCTGAAGTCTTTGGTGGAAGTCTGAAATAAACTTTTTCTATTGCCAGAAAATAGACTAGATAAATGGAACCTAAAAATGACAAACATTGTAAAGTGAAATTCCTTAAAAATTCTGTATTTTAGCAGCAGAGTATCATTACTATTATGATTTTCACAAAATGGACAGTTATTGTGTAGTCCTGGTTCTTAACCCTAATCACATATTTGTGCTCGGCTAAGCAATCTCTCATACCTTGTCCAATCTTCTGGACAAGGGCAAGACAGATGATATATAACATGAGTATTATTACAATTAATGAAATAATTTTGAGTGAATGATCTACTATTGTGTACATCCATGAACGTTTTTGTTTGAAAGACATTTGGACAATGAGGACAGTTCAGACACTTCAATGTGCCAGTAGGTTTTTGCAGTCACGTGCTTTTATTTCCTGGAGGAAGATACGAGTTCATTCACCTGTCACAGAGATTTGGAGCATGTCTAAAAGAAAATAAAGCAGGTTCAAGAAAAACTTTGCTTAATACAGGGTCACTTAAGAGTATAGACCAATTATCCTTAACCATATTTTTGATTTGTTCAGCACAAGTACTGTAAGTGGTGACAAACATAGGGTGAGATAGGTCTTTAGACCTAGCCATATTCTTTTTAGTGAGTAAAGTGCATTCTTAACTGCTGTAGACTGATAGACCCTATCTAGGAACCAGTTGGACATAGTCTCTGCCTGCTAAGTTTGACCAATGTTTTGAATGTTTCTTTCTCTAGACTAAAATGACTCCCGCTGCTTCACCCACTGAACCAGCCAATCTGGACAGCAGCGGTGCAACTACAGAGTCTTTGTTGAGTCAGCCTGAACCCACGACTGAAGGGGAGACGCCAATGCACTGAGACCTGCCTCTAACCCTGTGACCCCACGACCCCTGAATACCCTATCCACTTGACCTTTGACCCCAGACGGCTCACAAGTGCTCCCTTTTCTCCAGTGTGTGCCGGTGTCCTTTGTGATGGAGGCCAAATGACTCTTCCTAAACTTTAGAGTGGACTGAATGTGTCTGATGGGGGCTGTGTGTCATTATGTATGTTGTATCCTCACCTTTGTTAATGTTAAAGCTTTGTTAATGCCAACCTTTTGTCCCTATGTTTTTGACAGGAATTGTTTACGTTTATAAAAAAAATAACTAGGCAGAAAAATATATGTCCATCTTGTCTAGTGTAAAGATGATTCCTGATAGTGAAGGTCCATGTTAGTTAAAGGTGCACTATGTAAATTCTCTGGCTGAGAGTTTGCCTGCTTGTTTCCATGGAAATTATATTGCTTTGCTTGAAATGTTCCACAGTTTTATATTAAATTTGTCTCTCTACATGGAGTCTAGCATGTGACACCACCAGGTTACAGGTTATAGGGCAGATTTGTTGAGAGGTATTAAAAAAACCTTATGAAATGAATACCAGTTTAATGCCATGATATAAAACCACGCAGATAGTGGATTCCCTGTCAGAAAAGTTACATAGAGCACCTTTTAAAAGTGTTTTACAAACTTCAACACCGTTTTGTTAAAGGAGGCATACATGGCAAGTGCTGAGAATGTTGTAATGTTGTAAAGTACCTAACTCTTGTTTTGTGTTGTCATAAAGTGTTATTACAACCTAACCATCATTCTACACCATTTAAAGGTCTTAACATTGTGTCCAAAGTATGAATGTACTTTGTCTATCACTGTGTCATATATAGTGTTGCACTTTAACACATAAGGCTGGGAATAAAATCTGGTTTGAAAAGTGGCCATATATTTCCCTTGACGAGAGAGTGACAGAAAGGTGGTCCTGTGTCGAGGTAGTACCAGAAAAAACAGCCGCATCAGCAGAAGACAGGAGCAGAGCAAACACAGGGGGCATGAGCCTTGACCAGGAGAGAGGGAAATAAATAGGTCTCCTCCACAGTCAATATTTGAACAACTCTTCATTGTTTCTTTCAGGGAGGTAACACCTACAGAAACTCCCACCATCATAGCAACAGGGCAGGCCAATGGTGATTCCCAACTGTTCAGAGATAGACTGTAATATAATACTCTAACTGGCCATGCCTGACTATTGAGAATAAATTGTTTTATTGAACCATGAGATCAATATGAGCCCATGATGATGTTGCTTTGACTAAATGACCAATTAAATACTGTGCAGAACAATGCAGGTCAATCCCAACTGTTCAAATAGGAGAAATCTAAACAAACTGTTTGTGTCTGTTTTCTAAAAATAAAAACATGCATTGTAACAATATCTTTTACTTTTGATTTCACAGCACATTCAATTTCTGTATTAAATAATTCTGAAGTATAATGAACAATAATAAGTGAATAATAAGTAACCACATATGAAGATGTATGGTATATCGAAATGCTTATATAATGAACAACATGTGAATTACACACCAATTAAACATATATTAAACATAAATTCATTGTCTCATCTTCATTATTTAAAATTACGTGTGTATTCTTCAATAGATTACATCATCCTCTGATACAAAAATACCATAAAAAATGATTAAAAGTTGCAGGCTGCAGTTCACAATTTGAACACAGGAGGGCAGCCAAGAACAGAAGCTGGGATGTTGTTTTCAATTACAGGCTCAGTAAGTTGTGTAAAACCAGTTTTTATTTTTTTTATTTTTTTTTATAAAGCTTTTGCATACTTTTACTGTAATGTAGAATAGTATTCAGAAATGTGTTTTGTTTTAAGTTCATAGTTCTTACAGTGCAAATGCAGTTTCTAAAGAATTATTATAGACCATGAATCCTTTGGTTTTTCAGGTAATTAAGTTTCGCCAACAAAGCTAGCGTGACTCACAGTCAACATATTTTAGCATCACTGAGTAAATCCCAAATCAATGTACAATCCAGCTTCGTATATACAGAGATAATTTGAATATTTATAATTTTGTGGTGCGCACCACAAACGGGGGACGCTCAACCAACCCCCACCATAGCAGAGGGGACAATAGTGAGTACAGGGTCTTTGTTTTGAATACTTATGAAAAATATACAAAACAACAATTTCATTTTATTTATTTATTTTTATTAAAGGTGCATTGTGTAACTTGAATTGAATTTCCATGGAGACTCAATTTACAAGCCAAATTAGAGGTTAGTGTTGTGGAGCAGGTAACCCATTCACAGTAAGAATACTTGTGTTTTTTTGAGCAATAAATAAAACCTGTAGCTGAATAAATGCAAGACAGGCTAGTTAATACCGTACATTTTATATATATAATTTGTTCAATAATGCTGTGCTATGGTGACAGCAGTACTTTTTGTCCTACTTTAACTTGAATCTGAGTCTAAGACAAATTATAAGCAGCTACTCATTTGCATGGCCCCTCCTCATCAATCTACAAAAACTGTGAATAAGTTAACTTGCCTTTTTGCTCTAGTGATCACGAATTGCACCCAAAGTAAACTGCATTCATGACAAATATTGTAATTGCATCACATGGCTGAACTTATGATAAGAAATCCTCAGAGTTTGCGAATGTAAAAAAAGATAATTAATGATCAGTGAAGCAGAGATGAAGAAAAGACACAATGACACAAGCGGCTAACAAACAGCTGCCAAAAAAGTCTTTATTTTCAGTTCAGTTCAACCAAATATCTCCAGATTTATCTTGAAAACTGGAGCTAGGTCTAAAACTGTACATCAACAACAGCACCAGAACAAAAGGATCAGGAAACACCATTTTTACAACAGGAAACAATGGCAGTTTGTACACACATAGTTTCAGAGAAGAAGAAAGTAATAACCAGGAGTTAACAGTCAGTGTGCAATGATTTTTCCCAAGCAAGAAAAATCCTTATATCGTAATATTTATTTGATAATACTGTGGAAAAGAAAGAAATAAGCATCACTGGTGCATTCATAGCCTATAAGATATATTTGTGATAGAGACAAATATTGCAAGTTCTTTGTTAAGAAGGAGAGCAGGTTTTGACTGACGCCGGGACAGGTGCATCTCAAAAAAAAAAAAAAAAAAATATATATATATATATATATATATATATATATATATATATATATATATATATATATCGCATTGTAAACTTATTCAATTCCATATTTATTACTATTAATTAGGGATGTGTTGATCCAGATTCTTCAGATTTGAGTTACACTAAGATAAAATCAGACAATATTGATCCAATTGTGTTATGTAGCTGTTACGTTTCTGTCAAGTAACTACAGAACAACTTTGTATGAATAAAAGTTCATTATGAGATCTTTTTACATCAATTTATATTTCCAACCAATATATCGACTGAACCGATATTTTGAATCTGATAATCTGATCCAGCAAATGTTTCAGTATCAGCACCGATATCCAATACCAGTATTGGATAAGTGCATCCCTTCTGTCAGTTATAGATATTTGTCTTGTATTTTGTAAATTCTCTAAACTCTTTTAGACAGAATTTCAGAAACTATTTGACTCACTTAAATTTGATTTAATATTTTTTGTGACACACCTGTGTTTGTGTGTATTCTGAAGAAGCAGACCATGTTAGCTATTGTAAGGTATAGGAGGTGGACATTCAACTTGAACATGGCTTGCGTTGTGTCTGTATATATCCTTGAAGACACTAAAACTCTCCTTCACTATTACAGAGTGAACACATACACAACATTTTGGGAAAGTAGCTTATTTTCACCATTGGACGGAGAAGTATAGCTTTAACCTATTCCTATAAACAACAGTATATCCTCACAGTGAAGGAAAAGCTACTGACTTTGCAAAAACGCCACAATTTTCTCTCAGGTCACAGATGCCGCTCCTCATTGCCCTCATCAATTATTCAACGCCTCAGTAAACAGCTCCCCGCACAGCGCTAAAACAACAACTTGTGTGAGCTCATATATACAGTCATCCCCCGTACGCCTTTAGAATGAAAGCTCTGGAATATGCTTTTACAACACAGGTGCAGATGGAGAGTGCACGAGCAGTGCTGTGAAGAAGGTTGCCATAGCTACAGTGGGTAAAATCTATGGGAGTAAAACATTAGCTCAAATAAAGAGTTTCAATAGTTTGTCTGTAACTTTCAAATTTATTATTGTCCAAAACAAAGGATGTTTAAAGATGTACTGTGTAACTTTTCTTGTAGAGCGTTAGCCACCTGTTTGAGATGCTTTTGCTTAGCCTAGAATGTTCCAGACTTTGGCATTAAACTTATCTATCTCAGTGAAGATAAGCTGGTGATGTCACCAAGCCAAGATGGAGAGAAGTAAAAGCTCACTTTAAGAATGCAATTTCAATGTATTTTTGAGCTTTAAAACTTGTTAATTGAATAAATGCAAAATAGATATGTTTAATTACATATTAAGGGCCTGTTTACACGAGAACACTTGCGGGTAAAAACAACAAAATATTTTACTGGAAGTGCCTTTCGGTTAGGTGGTGATGGCATTTTTCGGGCTTAAAAACGCAAAACTCTGAAACCATCCTCCAGAGTGGAAAAGTTGAATACGCTTCAGCGTAGCGTTTCTGCCCAAGACGCAAAATTCTGGTTTACATCGCATACATGGTAAATGGTCACGTTTTTCTATAGCGCTTTTCCACCTTCAAGGCACTCAAAGCACTTTACACACACACATCCATACACCAGTGTACACAGACACTGTGGGCAAGGTGGGTTAAGTGTCTTGCCCAAGGACACAACGACAGCATTCATCTGTGGGAGCTGAAATCACACCAGCCAACCTGTGGGTCAGCGGATCTGACCAACCAATGATGGTTGGTGTCAAGAGTGGGATTTGAACCTCCAACCTTCAGATCAGTGGACAAACACCCTACCAACCGAGCTACTGCCTCCCCACATACATCACCACCTAACCGCCTGGCATGCATACCCAATCGAATTCTACACACTTTTGCATCACCGTATGCACACAGATTTCCTCCCAAAAGCGCTCTTCTAAATGCGAAATAAAAAGTAAAGATGCGACGCCACTTTTGCGTCTTCTGTTCAGATCATCATCATATAAACGTAACCTAAAGCAACGTGCATTTCCACAGAGATAAGATGGTAGAGGATCCTCCATCGGGAAAGTTCCATAGTGTATCTTTAATAACAAGGGACAAAATGTTGGTTTTGGTGTGGAAATCTAAAGAAGATCAATACTATCATGATACAAGGCCAAATTATTTATTAATTATTAATTATTATTAAATATAGCCACAAGGGGTCAATATAGTCACAAATGTTAGTTAATCTTCAACTGGAACTTGGTTGACCCTTTTACACTGGAATTTATTTTGAATTGTGCCAATAATGTAACAAAGGGAGATTCTTTTCTTTCTTTCTTTCTTTTTTTTTTTTTCTTTAACAGACTATTACACAGGAAACTGACAAATCATGAAGAACCAGACAGGATTGGACTACAAAGCCTTGAACTATCTGTGGAAAGCCTCACACAAAAGACCTTTCTACTGTGTATATGTGCCTCGTATTGATAATGTATGAGGTATGACAGTTAGCACTTTGAAACACACTTTCCCGAGTGCAGCCATGGCTTGATCATGTTTCTGTCGACACACACACACAGCCTTATTCTCTCTCTCTTCTCATACAGAGACATGGGAGAAGACGAGAGAGGTGTGAACGCTACATTGAACAGATGGGACATACCTCAGGCGGGCGGCCATACAAACACACTCTCCATCATCTTTCTCACTTGCTACAAACCTAAAAACAGTACCCTCCAGAGAGTATTCCACATTATCACCAGGACTGCCCCCCAAAGCCACATCGACATATTGTTCAACAGTGGGGCATACTGTATGACGCAAGCTCTTCTGTCTGTCCTAATATAGGGGACTTGTGTATGTTATCCCCTCCATCTGAAAAATACAACACATACGGAAACACTTTGTAGCTAGTTTCTTAATAAATCTTTGCTGATAAATGATTCAGGGTGGCATGAATGTTGCAATGACTTCATGCATAAAATGTGAATCAAGATAGCAGAAAAGGAGTGGTAAACAGCTACTGCCTTCTCAAAAGTGTCTGGTCTAATTTACCATACATGCACGCTTATTTTGATCTGAAATTCACACTTATTCTACGGCCAACACAAAGCTTGTAAAATAAAACATACTACTGATGGCCCAGAGGAGGGATTCCCATCGGGCACACAATCGAGCTTTAAACCATCTCAGAGACTACATAAATAGTAGTAGTTGTAAAGATAGGGTTTGGTTGGAGTTTTCCTATTAGACGAGATGGAGGAGATACTTGAGTGCACCGGTGTTGTAAAATTTTATGGAGCCCAAGCAAAATGATGACTATAGGGAGCATTGGTGTCGTTTATAGGAGATGACTTAAGACTGTTCAATGGATGTGTTAGAATTGTAAAGTTTCCTATTAAATAGATTTTGGTAGAATTCACTTTTTAAACTATTTGACACAACTAAGGTCTGGCGTAGTCAGTGCATACAGAAAGTAGACTGGGTCGCCAACAAAGAAGCTGAGTCAACTGAGATTCACTGTAGAGAACACATATATGGGAACATATATGGACAACTTGAAGTGCATTTTGCCATACACATCTGAAAAATCATATATACTTTACTATGTTTTTATTGGCTTTATATGAATTAGTGTATATTAATAATACTTTAGACTTAAGTTGTGACATTTCGTTGCTTTTTATATGGAGCATTTACCCTCAAACTATACGATTTCAGGTTCAAATCCAGAATATTTTTGTTTTCCTTTTTTTTTCCCTTTTTTTTTGTTGCAGGTTTAGCTTCTTTGTTAGCATATCCAATGTTGCCAGCACCTCATACCACCAGACACACTATCTTTTTCTCCTTCACTGAGTTGAGATAAACGCTACATAAAAATATAAAACTTTCTTTACTCTTGCAAACAATCCACCTGAGCATGGCTTTTTCTGTATGTCGATACTCAAAACTACTATCCCTGTTGGAGTTATATAGGCCCACTAATGCACTGTCAACAAACACAAATGGAGTTTTTAGTTTACAGCTCGAAAACACATCAAACATTTACATTTAGAGGCTTGAAAAGGATAGAAAAACGCCACATACTGTTTTGGCCATGACTGGGTTAAGAGCAGTGAATGTGTGGATCGAAAATAGCTGTCCCAAGCATCATCTGTCTTCAGAAATTGCACTGCCCCGTAACAATTAAAGGGAAGGCAGTAAAAGTCTGCACACTTTTATATCATGTTTAACAAGTATCATGTGATTTTGGTTCTGATCGAATGAAAAATATCCCGTGGTTTTAAAGCTCCCAGGGTGTTTTATTAAGGCTATAGCAGTGTCAGGGATAAAGCAGAAAGAAGAACAACTAAACTGTACTTCTCTATAACTCCGGTTGGCATGGCGCCCAACGGAGTACAGTCGTCATCCATCTTCCAAAAAGCCTCATCCAAGAATCTCCCAGGACGAGGCAACTGCACGCCCACACTACGAGGGTGGAGAAGTCTAAACCTCCATGGTGGACAAATTGGTTCATGACACAGGAGAGCCCCATTTCACCCTATTACTGAAATGTTTTCTCTAATTTATATGATCAAACTTTAAGGTGCACTGTTACTTTTTGGGAAGAGGGTCTGCTGCAACCAGCTTGTCTCCATGGAGATGTTATTGCTTTGCCTGGAACGCTTTACAGTATGGCATTCTCCATTTGTATGAAGACGAACAGTGATGCTTACAAGTGACAGGTCAGATCTGTGGAGAGGCAAACTTGAACTTATCAATAATAACATCTGTAATAGCATAAATGCAAGATATATCAATTTAATGTCATACTGTGGAGCATTCCAGACAAAGCAACAACACTACCCACCTCATCATTCAGGACATAATCAGTTGCTTTACTCAAACTGAAAGTTTTCTGCTCTTCCCCCACACCATGGCCAGCACAGCACAAACAGAGCACACTTATATAAATTGCATGCACATGCAGTAGTAAAAATACAGTTAGACCAGAGCATATAGTATAGAGTGTCATGTAAAAAGTACAAATCCAGTGTGACAGTCGTCGAGTTCTTGAGGTGATTGTATCAGAGAGAATGAAGCGGTCAGAGAGAGGATTGGGAGGTGGTGGTCAGCCATCTCTGTGTTGCATATTTAAGTCGTCTGAGGGAGCTGTGGCAAAATACCCCAAATTAATGAGATATATTCAATTGCAATTCAAAGTGATGCGTTTCAGGAGGAGCTTTCATGTTTTGTCTGAGTCTACTTGATATAATTATTCCTCCAGTGATGATCTGAAAGTGAAGAGGGCCTTTACAGGTTGTGTAAAGACCACTTTGGAGCTCCACTCTAAAATGGATCCTCTCTCTGACAGTTTCACAAGCTGTTTTTTGCCTAGTGAGGCGTCCTTGATTTCCCAAACATTTCAAGATTGCACCATGACAGATTTCTTCACATCAACACGCACCTATGTACAAGCCCTTGTACCAAAGGGAGGGAGGGTGATGTTTGGGAAAACAAAGAACTAAGTATACAGAGCACAAAACACGTCGAAACACAGTATTATTATAAGGTTGGGTCAAAAATAGTTACAGCAAAGAGTAAAAAAGTCACACAGACTTTGAGGGTTCCTTACAGTAACATCTTTCTACAACCAGGAAAAGGCCAAAGGGGCCTTAGACACCACCACTCACATGATCTTTGTATCACAAAGCTTTGAGATAGAAGTATAGAAAGCAGAACTCAGACTAGCCAGCACCAGAGACATTCCTTTACCGTTGCTGTGGCCCTGCAAATCACAGCAACACACAGCACTTAGAGCTCCACAGGAAACTCCTCTCTTATCAAGGCACATTCAGGACTCCTATCCCTCCTTTAGAATTAAACACTTAAAATCGTCTGTCTTATGGGGTGTGTAGTTTTTATGGAAGCCACTGTTTGTTCTTTACTCTCCCTTCCCTCTCTGCAGGAACATTCCTGAATGAACCAACAGAGAAGGCCCCTCCCCTTTATTGACAGCTGCCTCAGCTCCAGCATTAGCATGAGACAGATCAGAGCTGAGATGCATAACCTGGACGTCAGGGTGGTCACCATGGAAACTAGCCCTGGTGTCATGTGATGTCAATGCCGGAGACACCGTCTGTTCTTAGGGTCATGCACGGCCATGCTATGACTACTCAAGTGTGATAGAGTGTGCACATATATGACACTTTTAAACACATGTTTTTAGTCATGAGACTTTTTCAGCTCTACATAAACACACAAGAAGACACACTTTGGACATTTTCATAGGCCTAATTGAGCCAGAGGCCAATATCAGTCAGAAATGTTTAACTTCTACAGCGTGCCCAGCACAGAGCCAAGGGGAACCCCAAAGGTGCATTCAGAGTTGGATTTCGTACTCACAGCTGAAATATGCAGATACTCTGAAATATAACATTGGTATTCAGATGTATTGACAGCTTACTATCTACCCATAGAGGGGTAAACCAGGGTATCTTTGACAAATATCTGAAGCCAAATCAATAGAACTGTACACAAAGAGATCTGTTGTGATGATCCCAGACGTTAAACACAAAAGGACTGTAAAGATGCACAGTAGGAGAGATATACACGTATCTCACTATCTGTATTGGATACAGTAGCATATTGACTTGCACTTGATGATATAAGGTAGAATAAGCATCTTGTTACAAACAAGTCTTGTCAAATATGATTTACCAGAGAGTCCAAGGATCAACTCCATAAACCAGAAACGCTTGTAAAAGTGTCAACACATGAACCTCAGTGACAGCCACCACTGGACAGCCACGGACACATATGTGTATGTGCAATGTATATACACACCCAGGGTCCACCATAACTCTTGTTGGTAGATTTTTACACCTTGGGTAAGCAGGATAATGCCATCTAGTTTTATTCAATCTTATAAATCATGCTAGGGCCTATATAATAGACGGCAGCAGAGGAGGTAAACACAGCGGAGAACAAAAGGCTGACCGGGCGCTGCCACTCATAAGGGAAAGAAAAAAATCCTCATAAGTATTCATATCACTCTCTCCTCAGTAACAAGACCTCCTATTGTGGCTCTTTGATGCCAGTTTTAATTCTGCTATGTGAAACAGGTTGACAACGGCAGCCCAGCGGTTTGCACAGCTCAAAGCCCATAGACCCCAAAGGTAGGAGTTTAACACTATCACATCAATAGCATGATAGCATATGGCAGCTTTGGCAGAGTTACAATGTCAATTTTGGAGCGATCAGTCTTTCTTTTGTCAGATATGCTCAATGGGAAACAAATCATGCAAGATCCTGCAGTCTTGGGGAATTTAAAGTTTCAAGGATCTTTTTGTTATTTTTTTTCCACTTTTGTAATTAGAGCACCCAATCAGTATTCACAAACGACAATGCAATGAGTGAAAAATGAATATTCAAAGTAGGTGGTTGCCATAAAGTGATGGAATAATTTTACATTTGAACAACTGAGCAAACTTAATCTACTGATAAGGCTGTATGACGGCTGTGGAAGCTTTAGGAACATTAGAAAACTGATGATGGAAATAATTGCAAGTCAGGCCCAATTAGAGCACAATTGGCAAAAATAGTACTACTTTGATGCCAAGTATTTATATAGTCCATGCAGTTATTCATTTTCTGTCATGCCTGATTGGTGTATCTGGTATCTACAGAAAATAAAGAAACACTTTTGACGGTGACCATTTTGGTGGACACTTGATAGACTTGAGGCAGGGTGTTTTTATTTTCATGTTCTACAACAAAACAAGGTGTACAAAATGTATGAGTAAATATGAGACACAGGGAGAGTTAGCTCTGGTAAATAGCACCTCCTTTTCTCCCCTGTACAGGGCATAGTGCCAGCCCCATCACAAAGAGATGGTGCTGAGTGTCTCTGTAAAGCACCTTCATGCTTAAGGTCACCTTTGTGCCACTGTTAGTGAAGATGTTGTCCGGACAACAGCCACGCAGACAGGATTCAATCCATAACAAAACCCACAGAAATGCTGCCAACATGGAGTTTACAAAATACAAATGTCATTTAAAGTTGTCATTCAATTTAGCTGCCTATCAGAATAACCAGATCCACATGAGGCTTGTTTTTGGACTGGATCCTGAAAGCATCTGATTGGCTGCCAGTTTTTCCCACACTTCAATACAGGAAGGATATGGCCTGACCACAAAACACAAAGCACCACAATGATGGAGAAAGGGCAGTGGGTAGTGCATGGTGTACAACATTCACCCAATATAACATATATAACAAAAAAGGTCTTTTAACCTCGACACGTTTGTCAAACCTCCGGGACTGTTGTGACAGAGGGTCAACCACCTCGGACCATTTGATAAAGGTACGGGGACTCCTTAAGTGGAGCTGAGAGCACCGCGTAGCAGAGCTGCGCCCGAGCACTTCGCCTCAGGCACCTCCAAGCACAGGCAAAAACACTGGGTTGTCAATCAAACTAATTGCGAATGAGCCGTGGTGACAACCCGAGCAGAGGAGAATTGGAAATAAGATAAAGGTTTTAATCAAGTGTAGCTTTTGGACGGCTAATGCAGCTGGGTTGGTGGAGAGCGTCAGCGTGGAGGAGCCCAAGGCGAGAGCACAGGGTCACACACACTGGGAGGAAACACGCATAACAAGCTTGGCAGGACATGTAAATGACTGCCTCCTATAGATATACATCTTTGCCAGAACATGAAAACAAAATCCATTTACAATATAGATTCATATGTGGAAACAAAACAAAAATGCCAAATCAAAGTCTTTTTTGCTTTGACGTAAACCCCAACATGTCTTAACTATATATAAATTTTTCTTATCTTGTAAACATAATACATCGCTTGATACAATGGCGTTTTAAATGACATATAGGACAATGAGTTTGACGTTAAGGCTAATCTCTAGGTTTCAAAATAAAAGCACCCCAAAAGGTCCAACAGTACAATATATTCTTACACAAACCTGTTTATACCAGGTAAAATGTAAAATGAAGAAAATCTATCTTAGTATGTAATCACTAAAAGTAGCTGAAAACATAAAATAGCTTTAGACGTACTGAACCCAATGGGCGAGCTTGAAGTCAGTTTATCAGCTGGTGTTGGTCTCTAAGTATGTTATTTAATACAAGTTAGCGTGTAGTACAAATATTCATAATCCTAATGAAAAAACTATGACGTATACAGAATGTAGTTTCCCAATACCTTTTTTCTATTGGTCCATAAATCAGAATATAACATATATTTTGTATCATTTTTGAAAGTGCCTGGATCGAGGATGCTGGGAAAATCATAGCCACCAGCTTAGATGTAGAATCTCTAGTTAATTTTAAAAAAGTTAATCAAACAAGTGCTTTTCCCATTATATTTCAAACTCAGAATGGGTTAACTAGCCAAGTCTTGGTAGCTTTTTGCTCAAAATGAAATCATTTTAGGTAACCATAGACTGCAAACATGTGTACCAAGTGCTCTGTTTGACACATACAGTGCAAGTGCTTTGCTTTTGGTTGGTAGAAGTGTGCCCCCTTTGGTTTGCCAATGCACCTCAGTACTAAATAGTTCCCTTTGAGAGAGTGGTCAAAATGGCGGAAGAGGAGGAGGGCATTCTTTCACACACCACTGTCAACACGAGGGTCCTCATTTCATCCTTGCAAGGTGTGTAAGTAAACAGTCTTGGTTTTTAGACATGAGAGGAAAGATTAAAAACAGTAAAACATGGCACTTTAACACAACTATTTAAAAGAACAAGACAAGAGTTTTTGGTTGTTAGAAGTTGTGTGGATACGTTGTAGATGAGGATAACCCAAAAGCTTTAACTGCTGCTGGTTGCGTTCTGTAAAAATTACATCCCTGATAAACTGAAAACGATTCAAATATTACCTCTGCTGATTGTAATATTCATGTAGCAGTTTGACTGATGTGGTCCATCTGTGTTCCCTGACTGTAAAAGTTGGATCTTTTTTGCAATGATCATCCATGTTTAATTTATCAGTGTTCCTTTTGGGCTGTGAAAATGGAGAAAAGGCTGTGAAGGAGGTGACATAAAATCTCCTCAAAAAAGTCCAGAAATCAGATGAATATACTGAAGGAAGAAAGAACGCCACACATCACCTCCAACTTTTCTCACAATGTTTTTCAAAGGCCTTTCCTCCGTTCAATAAAAATGCACCTTTTCTGAAATTATTTCTTTCTTTAACACACTTCCCATTTAAAACTCAGATGCAACACTGAATCTAACATAAAAACAAAGAAACTCTTTGATCTGTTTTTTTTTTTCCTTTTTACAAAGTGTAGCTGCACTGGAGTTTCCCAAAGGCGGGTCGGGAGTAGCGAGGCAACATTTGGGAATCTTGGACGGAACAGTAAACGCCGGCTGCCCCGTCTTGTGGAGGAATGGTTTGGAGTGGGGAGGTGTTATGGAGGGAGAGTCCTGACAGGTTTTGAGGTTTTTGAGCAGAAGAAAAGCATGCAAAGTGCGCCCCCCCTTGCAGGAGCAGCACCTGTCATACAGGCGCAGGATCTCAGTCGGTGAATCTCTGACAGGCCTTCTTCCAGCGACAGGCCGTGCACCACATATCGCGATTTTCCATCCCGTACACTTTACGACACTTCTTACCCTCACCACGCACCTTCCGACTTCAGAAGACAAGAAAAATTAAGTTTAGAACAGAGTTGTAAAACAGAAGGTCATTCAGTCAAATTTCAAAGGAATACCTGAGAGCTGTGGTGGCTCGAGGAGGGGATGACAAGACGGCAATGGTTTGGGAGCGCTGTTCTCCAAAACCCTGGCTCTTACTTGGAGACATCTGTGAGAAGAAAGACAACAAACATGAAAGATTGATTAAAACTGGAACAACTGAAGTGAATGCAGTGAAACCACAGTGTACCGAATTGCCGGTAAAAGTGACCGGAGGGGACTGCCAGGAGATGCTGAAGCTGGAGCTGTTGGTGGGAGTGAAGCTGGTCGAGCCGTTCATGTTGTTTCCGTTGGACGGAATGGACACAGGAGCTGTGGCCTGAAGGGGTAAAAGGTCAAAGACTTAGTAATGTAACATCTCATGACTGCTGTCTGCATTTTTGTAATTTTCCAACAACAATACAAATATCAAATATGTTTTTCTAACAATTTCTAAGACACTATATACTTTTCATTAGTTTCATCGCCTTGCTATATGCAACATTTTGGAGACTTCCCATTCAACATATATAATATTTTGCTTTAAATTGTTGCTGTGGCTATAGTAATTATTTTATTATTACTATGAAACCCCTGTATAACAAAAATATCTTGTAAACTAACAGTAACTACACTACTGGTTTTTACATCAATAATACAAGGGTTTGCGCGGTGGTTAACTGGTGTGAAGTAGTCCAGATTGGTGTATTTGCTAAACACGGAGCCCTGATGAGCTGAGAGCATGCCGAGTGTGTCCTGATGGGAGTATCGCACTGTGACCAGGAGCTTGTATTGATCATTCCTAGCCTATCTAATCTGTGTGTGAAGGGAAACCTGGTAGGCGTGGTCTGTGTGGATGAGGTAGAGAGCACTGGGGGCCGAGCGGCTCAGGGGGGTGGTGCCTCCCACATGGGGCTCCTTGGTGTCAAACTGTGGAGGCCTGTGGGGGTCTGAGTGTCCCGCGCTGGGCAGAGGGGAGGGGGGAGGGGCTGGAGGGGACAGGACTGAGGGCGAGACCGGGGACAGGCTGCTCAGACCGTCCGCCACTGAGTCCGTGTTGAGTTTGATCTCTGTGTAGTAGAAGTCCTCCTCGCCATCACTGCAGTCTGAGTCACAGTTTCGCCTGCACAAAAGGACACATATGGATTTACTCATTTCATATTCTCAAAACTTTCTTAAGAATCCATAATGACTCATGTACTGTTAATAGAACTAGAAGGTTATATGACAATATAGCAAAAACTTCATTACTATGTTTTACACACATGAAAACATTGTACATTTGATTTATCAAAAGGTCCTTGACACTGTACTTTTTATATCTATAGGCAATAGGCTTCCTTGGTTTGCTTTGCTCAAAACAAATGTTTATCTTTTACAAT